GACATACCTGAAGCATGGCTCATACCCAGGCACAATTCGGATCTGGGCATAGGCCACAGCAGGGCTCAGGAGACATTGGGGTATGGCTCATACCTGGGCCTGGCTCACACCCGAGGGTTAGAAGAAACACTCAGGAAGTTTCTGATTATCAGGGAAAGAGAGGATTTTAACAAAAAACTTTTGAACAAATGTGTTAATTAAAAACTCAAAATATTTTGGACAGAATGGCCCACGTTTATAGTCTAGAGTTTCTGATGTCTCCAAGACGTTATCCCTTGAGGGGGGGAGAACTCAAAGTAGTCACCCATAGTAAGGACAGCTGAATTCTGGAAGTAAAGGCTGGAGAAAAACCTGAGATCATGCTAAAGGCCATATCTTAGACCAGAAGGGCACTGTGACCGCTGTCAGCAGCTAACCCTGGTAGTCAGCTTTGCTGTGATCCAGTGCATGGAACTGACTTATTAAAGTACACAATTTCATATTCACAGAGCTCTCTGAAACACTTCTGCCACCTGTGATGTGCGTGTGGTTACGTAGCTATCAGCAGGTGCCCGTGCATGTTTACGCTCAGGCCAGAGGCTGGCGCTGCTCGCCTCTCCTTGGTCACTCTCTACCTTTATTTCCTGAGAAAAAGTCTCTTGCTGAACTCAAAGTGCATCAGTTCAGCTAGGCTGGCTGCCCTTCAGAGATCCACCTTGTGCTGGCTGTGGGTTTGTTTGGTTTCTGTTTTCTTCAAATTGTCATATGCGAATCACCTGGGAAGAGGAAGCCTCAGTGAGAAAAGCCCAGGCCAGACTGGCCTGTAGACGAGCCTGTGGTGCATTTTCTTAACTAATGGTGAACGGTGTCATCCGTGGGAAGGTGGTCCTGGGGTATACAGGAAAGCAAACTGAGCATGCCATGAGGAGCAAGCCAGAAAGGAGCACTCCTGCATAGTCTAAGCATCAGCTCCTGCCTTGTTTGGTTCCTGCCCTGAATTCCCTCAGTGGTAGACTGTGGTGTAGACCTGTCAGCTGAGAAGCCCTCCCCATGTTGGTTTTGGTCACAGTGTTTTATCACAGTAACATAGACCTATGACACACCTGTCTCTGCCCAACCCTAGCAGTGGGGTCACAGACACACTGCCATACCTGGCTTTTAGCATGGGTGCGAGGGGTCCAAACTCAAAACCTCATGCTTGTGTGGCAGGTACTTCACTGCCTGGGGCACCTTTTGTCTTTATGAACTGCTCATCCTGGACTTTTCACAAACAGCGAACTCATTGTTAAGGGGTCTTACTTTCTGTCAAGTCACTGACAATAATGAATTTGTACATCTGGAACCATTATTCCTGGAGGAAGATGCTCCGGTCATCACAAGACTCCAGTCAGATGCTTTTAGCAACCAGCTGCTACTTCACCTTACTTCTTCTGTCTAAAGACACCGCGTTTAGTATTTACTGAGCTGGTGGCCACAGGGCCCAAATAAAGCTTCTCTAACAGGACACCTCCATGAGGCACACCACAACCTCCTGAGTTGAGAACATTAGATACCACCTCAGCCCTCGTCACTGACAAAAGGCAAAACCAAACCAAAGGGACAATTGCTGGCATTAGAGTGTGTGAGAGATGGCTGCTGGTAGGACCTGAGACAGCATGGAGGGCTTTGCTGTGTTGCCCTCTCAGCCAGGGCCACTTCCCCACTCTGTGGGCATGTTCTCCAGTGACCAGAAAACCACTGTTAGTATTGATCTGGGGTTACAAGTAAATATTAGAAGCAGGTAGTTTTCAACTACAGATCCCTTGAATAACGAGCTAACGACAAGTGGTCCTGGGTCATGACTTAGCTCCCTCAGCACACTGTATGATGGTCACTGTCAGAAGCAGTGCTTAGCTCTCTCTTGTAGCAGGGAAACATTCACTTGCACAGATCTGTCCACTTGGACATCTGCTCACTGGCAGGTGGACTCCTGGGTTTTGTTAGTTCTTAGGCTGCTGTGTCTGGGACTGCGAGCAAGTCTCTGTGTGCACATGGACCCACATGCTTGGGTTCTGCTGGGCATCTTAGCTCAAAGGGATGCTCATCTGTCATTGTATGTCCTTGTGTGGCTTGAGGGAAGAAATTATTGTAAGAGGCAGGTTAAATGTTTTAGTATAGTTGAGAGTTTATATCAACATGTATGAAGAATGCTGACTTTTCATTGGTAATTAGAGTTTCTCCTTTAAAAATCTGTCAGTCAGGGCTGGGAAGTTGGTTTCCATTTAGGAATATGTACTGCTCTTGTAGAGGGTTTGATTTCCAGAACCCACATCAGGCTGCTCACAACCGCCTGTAACTCCAACTCCAGGGGACCTGACACCTTTTTCAGGCCTCCATGGGCACTGCACTCCTATGAACCAATCACAAGTGTGTGCGTGTGTGCACATGTGCGCACGCGCGCAAACACACACACACACACACATACACACAACTTAAAAAGTCAGTGTCAATATGGGAAGCTACGTGGGACTTACAGGATTCATTGGCCTTTCCAGACCAGTGCCATGGAAAGATAGTGGACTATGACTGTTGACCTCTGGTGGCCTCAGGACTCCAACCACAGGGACACTGGATCTTCATGGCTATGAACCAGCAAGTCTATCCTGCAGACAAAGGTATCCAGCTGTCCACAGATGTGCAGATGCCTAGACTCTTGTCCTGAGCACAGTTACTCCAGTCAGAACCCCACGTGGATGAAGAGAAGGTTCTGAACTATCTAGAGGTATGAAGAGGGGCCAGGATGGTGCACACGGGCCCAGCCAAGAGTTTGTAGACATGAGAAGCCAACACAAATCCAGAAACTTTCCCAGCTCAGAAAGGAGGGCGGATTCGTGAGAAGGACCTGCGTTTATATACTATGAAAAGGCCAGCTTTGAAATGCCTGCCACGCAGCTTCTCAGGGCAGAGGAAGAATAATAAGAAGGAAAAACACACAGTACTGAAAGGGTGCCATGCCTCAGCCTACACGCTGAAGGAGGGAAAGCACTGAACTGTGGGGAGGCTGATGCAGTCCCCCCTGCACGTGCAGACCTGAGCTGCCAGTCAGTCCTACTCCAGCTTCAGCAGCTCCAGGCTGAGGGGCACAACCTCACCCAAGCCAGCCTCTGCTGGGACTTCACAGGCCCCGCCCCACAGCCAGGAAGGGCAAAAGCATTAGCTTCCTTCAGGATGGGTAACAAGGCCTGTGTGTGTGGATGCCAACTCCTCAGAGCCTTCACCCCTTTACCTGCCCCTTGCAAGTGAGGCCATGATCTGGGGTCACAATGGCACAGCCAAGAACCAGCCCAGGGGCCTTGTGGTCTGGTGGAGATGAATCACGAGCCACTCTAAGAACCTGTAACAGGTAACATCCAGAGAAATGAAGAGGACAGGCAGGCAGAGGAAAACGTGAGCTAATTAGAGCAGACTGGGCTGGCCTTCTGAGAAGGCAGAGTGTCCAAAGATATGGGTTTTCCAGCGGGGTGATGGGCAGAGTTCCAGGACAGAGTAGTGGGATGCAGGTGTACTTCAGGACCAGCTGTGGCTACCACAGATGACAGAGAAGGGACAAGAAGGATGCTGCAGGCTACAAGGAGCTGCAGGAAACACGAGAGTCCTGATTCCTGATCATCAGCAACACGCAGGTTCCACTGTAACACAGATGCCAACATGCAGGTTCTACGTAACTTTGTGCCAGAGAACTGGACTCAAGTGAGGGCAGGAGTCTCCTACATCTCGATATTTATGGGTCACCCACGGCTGGCACACCACGTGTTCTCAGTAACTTGACGAGCAGTGTCACCACTCCTGTTCTGCAAAGAATGACACTAAGGTGCCAGACACAGAAGCCTGGCTAAGAATTATGAGGCCCATAGCCACTTCACACCGTGGCTCTTCCGTTTCCTCATTCAGCACACTACAGCTCTGCTTCTTTCCACGAAGCTCAGAAAGGACGGTGGAGCCCACGAGAAGGATTTGAGCTCACATGACAGACATGCTCACACGGGGAAAAGCCGGCTTTGGAAATGCCATGCTGCTACCCGGGGAAGAGGAAGAAGGAACCACAAATGATACCAAAAGGCTGCTGGGAAAAGACACCTAAGGTGCCGCTCTTAACAGCAGGCATAGTTTGCGGCTGCACTACACAGCTCCTCAGTCTGGGGCACGCTGGACACAGGGGTCCACTCCAGGAAAGAAAGGCGCCCTTCTGCCAGTCAGTGCTTGCAATGTTCAAAGTAGGTCTGCCCCAGGAAGAAGGATGATAATTAATAAATTGATTATAAAATGACCTTTTTCTACTTCTAAGCTTCCCCTGCAGCTGGCTCTTTCCTTTAACATCATATTCTTAAGTGACAAGGCTCTGCCAAGCCCAGATGTGAGAAAACGATCCCTGCAATGCACTCTGGGAGGCAAGCAGGGTGAGTGCACAGCTGCTCCGCCCATCACCACCCCGCCCATGTCACTAACTTATTTCAGCGCACAGTAGTGTCGGTTACAACACTAGGGTTTTAGAGGTTAGAGGTAACCAAAGTTTCAATTTAAAGCTAATATTTTCCCTAGTCTTACAGAGACATGAAAATACAAAGTATGGTCCTCAAGTTTAATTCCTAAGATACTGACAAATGCCTCTTTGTTACTGAATTCACTTGCTCCTAGTTAAAATGCTAAAAATATCCGCATTATTTATTCTTCATAAAAGACTGAAAGTATTTGTATTACTTTTCTTACATCTATAAAAGGCAGAGGTCAATACTATTTAAGGAGAAAAGGGAAGTTTAGCTACTTTTAAGACCTTTAGGGAAGGAGGTGGAAATTTTTAATAAATAAATAAATTAACTAAAAAAAAAGACCTTTAAACAAATTAGTATTGATCTAAAAAGTAATTTTGAAGTCCGCTAACTACAGGCCAGAAACGGAATCTTAGCGTCCTACACCCGCGGAGAGTTAAAGCTCTATTTCCTTCTTAAGCGACTGCAGGGAGAGCAGAGAGCTTTTCCTCATACCTCGCTTCTGGATGAAGACCCTAAGCAAGGGGTTTGCACTTGATACTGCCTTGCAGAAGTTGTCATCATTGTTGATGGGCAGCAGGTCCCCGTGCACGTCAGCATAGCCGATGGTCACGTCCGTGTGAGGGATGTGGTGTGTGTGCACGACCAGCTGGTAGAAATCTTCAAACTTCCCGGGCTTATGGCGGTCCAAGGAGAACCTCCGGAATTCGGCCCCAAACTACAAGGCAAGAGAGGCGGTAAGTGAATTGCAGGAAGAGTCCTGAGAAGAAGGCTCTGTGTCACGGAACAATGTGATCACTAGCTCCCTTGGAGGCCACAAGCAGCCCCATGCTATGGTCTTGTGACTGAGCAAGTCAAATTCTGTTTAAAATATATGAAGTATATTTTTAATTTTGGTTTAAAGTAGCAGGTTTTCAGATAGCCTTCTTTTAAAGGCTTTGATTTCAATTAGTCCTCTCCAAGTCCCCCCCCCCCCAACCCTTCCCACTCACAGAATTGACTTAAAAATTACCCATGTTCTACCACCATCCTTCCTTCAAGCCTCTACTAGATTCCCGGCTTCTACAGTGACTCCAAGTAAACACACCCATTGGCGATCGGAAGGTAGGATCCACACACAAGGGACCACATGGCAATGCAATGCAAACTGCTGGGGGAAAGGCATCCACAGTGAATCCCAGGAACTGCGACGCTTGTGCAACGGCAGCACCACAGTTAGGGCGAACCAACCGCTCTCTGATTAGATTGAATGCCCACACCACGGGAGGGAATCCATGCTGGGCACCGACACCTGGTTGAAAACCCACGGCAGGGGAAACAAAGGGCCATATGGAGAACTGAACACTGCTACTTAGCCAAACTGGCAATGCACTGAAATGCACACTAAATGCTTATGTTTATACCCACAAGTACTACCTGAACCAGACAAGGTTCCTTCTAGTGAACAGTGGTGAGTGAAGAGGCTCATGACTGTAGAAGGTGCTAAGGATAAGTGACCTGCAAGCGGTGTTTGCGCCACCCTCTAAAGCTCAGAAAGCATCGTGGAGGAGGGGACAGAAGGTTCAAAAAATCTGGAAGGCAGATAGAGGAGCTGTGACACGCGGTTTCTGGGCAAGACACAGCCATGCAGTCATGAACTCATAGTGGTTGCAGATGCCTGCCCTGGATCTGGACAGGAATGGGCCCTCTAACAGTCAGTCAAAGAAGAAGGCGGAGCTTAGGGGACCTTACCCCTCCCTGATAAACTCTTCACTACTGATAGGTTCACGGAGCGGGGAGTCATAGCCTTCAGTTGAATACCCAGTGGTGACACCATCAGGCTTCAGTGGACAGCTCTAATCCAGTGGTCACACTGATAGCCCTGGTTTAAACTAAATGGGTCATAAGACAAACCTGAAAGTTATCAATCTTGGAACGGGGCTGTCAGGGAGGAGGGGGAGGCTCAAAAGGGATGGGAGAGAGAAGAGGGGTGTGGGTGAAGGAATAATCTGAATGCATTATATACATGTATGAAATCGTAGAAACAACAAAAACTAATTTTTAAAAATTAAAAAGGAAGAAAGAAAGAATGGGAAGAAGAAAGAACCAGCATCCTTTCAAAAGAGTATCAACCCTCCACCTCTGGACAGTCACCAGTGGAGCCACTAACGCAAAGGACAGGGCCAACTTCTTCTCTGCAGACCCTGGCCCTGACCTAGTTGCCCACGGAGCTGCACTAAATCATCTGGGCATCAAATTGGGCAAATCATCTCAAGACACTGAGGTTTGTGTCAAAAATCTACATTGCCCTCAGATTTGGGAATGTAGCCCAGAAAATTATGTTTTTTGATAAGTTCTCAGAAGTAACTAATGTTAGTGTCTGGGGCTCACATACAGAGGACCAGTGGCCTAAGGAAATCGACTTCCAGAGCTCTGTGTGAAGACTGACCTGCCTGGGAAGCACTTGCTGTCCCCACGTCTTGCAGGCCACCCAAATCAAAGCCAATCTCTTACGTACCTACGCTGCACAGGATACCCAACAAAGGAACAATTCAGAATGCTGGCTTGGGAAAAGCTACATTCAGTGACTAGTCAGAAGTCTACTCTCTCCTCCCCCACACACAGTAAGGGGAGAAGTATGGCCTTCCCACACACTCACAAGGGGAAGGAGGATGGCCCCAGACTTACTGTTTGGCTAGTTACATTTATGGACAGCTGGTGTCCTGGAAAGAGCAGAGGAAAGGGCTCTGTTCTGTCCCCACCGGTATCAGAGGTACAGATTAAACTTCCCCCAGGCTCCCATTACTCAGACAAACATATCATCTCTTCTCAGCACTTTACAAAGGGTACCCCAGCAACAGGAGGCCCAGGTACAGCATGCTGGTCTTCACCCATAGGGGTGGAAAAGCTGTAAGATACAGTTTGAAAGAGAAAAAGCCTACAACCCATGTTCTGTATGGTTTCTCCCTCATTTAGTTACCCAATCAAATAACAGCATATTTATTTGGGCAGTTGTCACGCTTCCCATTTGTGTGGCTGCCTTCTGGTAAGTCTATGAGCACACCCCTTTCCTCCCAATGAAGACATCAGGGACTGTAACAATGAGTAATGCAGCCCAGGAGCGGCTCTCTCACGTCCAGTCCTTGTCTGGGTGTCCTCAGCAGGATGCATGACTGTACACTCACCTGAGGAACACCCCTCTCTGTGCTCAGCACTCCTCACCATGGAGTCAGCACCCACAGAACTAAATTCTCAAGCTCTCCGACAGTGTTTCCAGTCCACTTCCACTTGGCAAGGAATCTACAGGCAGCTCACAGCGTTTTTCATGATTTTTAAACAATATTCCTAAAATGAGTACCTTCCTATAGTAATTTGGAAAGACAAAAGAATACAGACTTTTCTTTAGGTGAAAAAAGCCTGGTTTGTATCTGACAGTGTGACTGGTTTGCCACTCAATCAGATAGCCGGTTATGTATGTCTAATGAGGTCCAGAGTTCTCACAGGCATGTGAAAGGGTGATGTAATATATTAATCTTATCTAAAAATAATTTTTATTTTCCACTTAACTTCAGATTAAAAAAGAGGCCTCCACGCTGTACACTGCTAATGCTTGTACACTGTTAAGCACTGGATAATGCTTGTACACTGTAAAGATCTGTCACTTGTATTGGTTTAATAAAATGTTGACTGGTCAGTAGCCAGGCAGAAAGTATAGGTGGGGCAACCAGTCGAGAAGAATTCTGGGAAGGCGAAGACAGAAAGTCAGTCACCAACCAGATGCAGAGGAAGCAGGATGAGAATGCTGCACTGAGTAAGGTACCAAGCCACGTGGCTAAACATAGACAAGAATAATGGGCTAATTTAAGTTGTAAGAGATAGTTAATAATAAGCCTGAGCTAACAGGTCAAATAGTTTGTAATTAAGATAAGCCTCTGTGTGTGTGTTTTTTTGGGACTGAACAGCTGTGGGACCAGGCAGGACAAAAACTTCCATCTACACCTCTAAAAGAAGGAATTAGTAGGTGCATCTCAATGTCACAGAATTCTTGGTAAAGCCAAGAACTTTTCTACCTTCCAGAAATTGAGAGGATGCACAACTCTGTTGACCAGATGATAAGTCTTGCACATCAAGTATTTTCTTCCTATCTGCTTTCACCAAACCTAGAAATTGTTCATATTGAATTCCCAGCAAATAGGTTATCTGAATGATGTTGGTGGTTGGTTGATTTACTCTTGGGAGATGACCCAGGGAGAGGTCCAAGAACCCTCTGTGCACCTGCTCACCTGGGAGTCTTCCCTCTCCCTGGCTTTTCTTTCACTTCCACAGCATCTGATCTGTTTGTATAACAAAGAGTGTACTGGCGTTGACAGCTATAGCAGTAAAACACAGACAAAAAGATGCTTCTGTGGCCACTGAGCAATAATACCTTTCACTAAATGCAGGATAAACACTGTAATAACTCAATCTAGAATTAGCCATTTTGGTTTTTATTTAAAACTTTTTATTCTTCTGTAATTTTATGCTTATATATATATATATATAACTTTTATTTGCATAAGTGTTTAATATATCTTCACTCCCACTCCTCCAGCCAGACTCCCCAAGCCTCCCCCTCTGTGCCCTCTCCTGTTTGAAGCAGTTGCCACATGCACATATGTATGACTGTACACCTGAGCAGAGAAAGCTTATTGGCAGCCGTTCTCCTGACATTTGTCACGTTGTGTGTTTGTTTTTCAGACAGGGTCTTGCTATGTAGCCCACTCTGGACTCAATTCTTGATTATCCTGCCTCAGCCTGGCGAGACAGAGTATGACACCATGGCTGCCTCACTTAGTTATTAATACAATCAGGGGTGATAATTACAGTGCATCTAAAATATGCCTATATCCCCCCCACAATGGTTTATGTGATGTGTGTGTGTGTGGTGTATGTGTGTGTGTTGCCTAAGCTGGCCTTGAACTCATGGACTTAAAATTTTCCCACCTCAGCCTCCTGAGTGATGGGATAACAAGTGTGTCCCAGTGTTCCTATCTTGAAGCTCTTCCCACTTTGCAAACTAAAAATACCATTGAACAACAATTTAGGAGTAATTTTTCACAAAGATTTATAGCCATCTGACAAATATTTCAACTTTAACTTAACTTCTTATTGCATAGACGCGCGAGAGATAATCGAGCATAAATTAGCAGGAGAGAATAATAGAAAAAAAGAATCTCTTTGGATAGTAGTAGATAAAAGAAATCAAAGAGACAAGGAAGTATGTAAATTTTCTGATCATTAAAAAAGATAGTTTATTCTATTTTAAAATGTCTACTGGAGATATCAAACCCTCCCACTCAGATTTCACTGACTAGATTGAGAAGTTCAGCTGGGCATGGTGATAAGGACACAGGCAGGCGCACACACTCCTCCCAAAGTAGCCTTGCTGGGCCTAGCTAGGTCAGCAGGCAAGTTAGTTTACAGCATATCAAAGTTCCCCTTTCCCGCCAGCATGCAACTCAGGCAGCGTGTTTTTCCCCCAGAGGAATTAATCCTAGCCGCAGGAAGATGTGTACTGGGGAAGGTCACTTGTCCAGAAGCAGACTTATCAAAGAAAGGACAACTAGGCAGAGTCTTCTCCCAGCAGCCACAGGTCATTTGTGTCTTGAGCCATCAACCCCTGATGGTTGGGGCCTCTTCCCATGTGTGCAAACCCACGCGCTCACTGTGACACAAACTGATGCCTTCTGGGGAGTGCTA